GTGTGTGTATGAGTGTATGTGTGTGTGTATGAGTGTGTGTGTGTGTGTGTGTGTGTGTGTGTGTGTGCGCGCGCGTGCGAGTTACGCTGTTATTAGGTTTTGATACGGTAACGTTTTATGTGAGTAATTATGTAGGCACCGACGTGCCAAGAGTCAGGTTTTTCTTTCTTGTTTTGGCAAGAGTTTTTACGGTGCTTAATGTATACGTGTAGCGAGGACATGTTATTTCGTGATACTATCCCTGTGTCAGTTGATATAGGCCTCACCATTGAACGCAGAGGACATGAGTTCAATTCGCAGGCGGGGAGAATCAAACTTTCTATCGTGTGTCTCAGTCTTTCTTTTAAAACGTTGCATCCCAGCAAGCCCAGGATTTCTCAGACAGACATGATCAAGGCCCGCCCCCGAAATGATCTAAATAATGTTGACGGTGGCGTAAAAACATTTGTAAATAAAATAAAAGAAAAAAAGTCAGAGTCACATTTTTCTCACTGTGGCGTGGAAATGATATTTAAAGACGCTGTTCCCGCTTGTAACTTTCGACTGCTCTGAAGAGACTCTTTTGGTACTGAAAGCGGCATAATACACGCACAACTTTGAATCTGCTTAATAATATGCTCTTTCATTCTTTTTACGAATACCAACAACAGTTTATCAATATCAGTATTGACATACTATCTCGACAGCAGAGATTTATCTTGCATTACTTTTGTTCTAAATATCTGGATGACAGGAACAACGGGCATTTCGTACCACTTTTATTCTTAAAACACTGCTGAGAAAACCAGGAAAAAGAACATTTTGTGTTACAATTACTTCGAAGAACTAGTGAGAAAAATCCTGAAGAAATAAACATGTTGTGCATTTTGTTCTATATCTTGTTGTTTTCCCCCTCAGATGTCCGACGTTACAGCCGGTGGTGCTACTGTCTTCCCATCTCTCAACGTTTTTGTACAACCTGTAAAGGTATATCGTGATGTGTCCCAGCTGTGTGTGTGTGTCTTCGGAACGGAAGAGTTGCATCTAGAAAGCCTTTTGAATTAATTTAATTTCTTTTTCCCTATGGTCAAGTTACTATCTCCTTCGTTTTGATTCCCACAGACTCCACCAACGTCATTCGCTGGCAATAGAAACTACTTTATTATAGAGCGACATTTTAGAATTGGGGACAAATTACCATGAAAGTAATCGAAGCTAAAACGAATGCTTTATTCTCAATGTTTGTACACCCTTTGCGTTGAAGTCGGCTTTCAGCCATGGTCTCAGACCACGTAATGATCGATATCGAGAATTTGAACAATTTGTATCGAACACCCCCCCTTGCCCGTTTCCTCCCCCTGAAACCGAAATAACGTTGACAGCCGTTTTGAAGTTGCGCCGCTTCAATTAACCATTAACATTTAATCAGAACTGCCCTTAGATCTATACCCCTTCTGCAGGGCGTTTGTCAGCTCTTTTAGTCACATTATGGACTACAGAGCTGACGGCCTTTGTTCAAATATCAGATTAGTCGCTCTTGATCCGGGTGATTTTGTGGAGTTTTCAAGCTTCTCAACCCATTTGGCTAGGTTTTAATCGGAGATTGACGTTAAATTCGAAAGTCTCGTCTCTTAAATAAAGCAACAACAACAACAAACAAACAAAACAAACAAATAAACAAACAAACACACAAATAAACAAATCCAAACAAAACCCCAATACTTACGAGTATTCGTTCCACTTACCAAAGCTAACAGCATTCATCAGCCGTACCCATTACCCTAATGAGTCTTTAAACAGCCAGCCTTCCTAAACATCAAGCAACTTTTAACCTCACAACAGAAGGACCATTAACTCTAGCTTTGTGGCTGCAGACCGTAATGTTATTTTGATGTGGTGACGTCATCTTTGATACTTTTTCTGAGTTTAGAAAAAAAGTATTTTTAACAATGTTAAAGCTTGTCAGATGGCGCTCATATGACCTTATGCAGTTGCGAACGCCGTAAAACCTCTACTAGAAACAAAAACAAAAAAGCTTGTCAGAGCAGTTCAAGTTTATACATGTATCAAAAGGAAAAAAACAACTTTGTAACAAATGCAGGTGTTAGATGGTGGTTGTTAACTCTGTAAAGACGTAGAGGAAACATATCCTGGTCAGTAACAGACCAAAGGTCAAGTTGGGGCACACCTTGAATCATCATACATTAAATCAGAAATGTGAATTTGCATATTATTTCATAGCACGCTTGTTGTAGCCTGAATTTAAAAGTTTCAGGTGAAGAAGACAGAATGAAACAATATGAATAGTTAACAACGTTGCTATGCTTCTTTTAAGCCTAGTTGAATGAACATATAGGTCGTTCCCAGTGATTTAATCGGGAGGACAGTGGAATAGCGATCAATTTTACCTCTCTAATTGTTGGCGAAAGAAAGGGGTTTTTTTAATTTGGAAGAGCGAGCAGCTCCTAAGTAGAGATATGATTATTTTCTTTTTAGGTTAATCGATACCAACTCTTCATATTTCCCCTCTGCATTCAACAGGATTGGCACCGTCTTCATACGTTTATCCTTTATAGCAGCATTTCCAATGAAAAAAAAAGTCCTGTTCTTTTCCGAATTGAAAGCCGTCAACTATGATGACACATACAGACACCAAACAGACCGACTGAAACTCTCGACTAAATAGATTTCCCCCCACAAGAAAACGATCCTTTTTCGGTTTCATTTAAGCGTTATTGGCGTTTGTGGTGTAGCGGTTAGGCGCTTCGACGTCGTACGCAGAACACTCGAGTTCGAATACCGTGTGGGGTTAATTTTCAAGAAGTATCTCGGTCTTTCTGCTTAGATGTTGTATCCCTCTCAGCCTGACTTGGCCGAGATCTGAATTGGGTCGATTGGGATGTAGAATCACCTTTTTATAAAGAAAACCACAGTGAAATCAACCATATTATTATGACTCTGTCTCCCAAGGTTTAATAATCACCACAATTCAACTTTTGCCTCCACAGTGCAGCGCTGTCTTTTGGCACAACCTACTGGCCAGTGGTCAGCCCGACACGCGCATGGTGCACGCTGGATGTCCGGTGCTCATGGGTGACAAGTGGGGTAAGTCAGAGCTTGTTCACTTTCGTCTGACCGCGGTTAAGACAAGGTAAAATGAAAGCTCCTATCTTTTAATACGAGTCTATAAGTTTGGCGACCAACAGAATCTGAAAGCACATTCCTACAGGTCACTGCAAACTAAGGTTCCGACACGTTTTCTTTGCTGTTAGCCCAAAGAGGGTCAAACAATTACAAGGCGTTTACAGCATACACCTGGACATTAAAAAGTTGATATATTTTCCTCAACACCCCACTAAAGTGGAGGCGTCTAGATGATAGAGGGATGAAATCTATAAGCTTACATTGAAATGTTTCGACAGGGTGGTGTCGCTGTCCCAAAATGAGCAATTTGTACAGTATATTAATGTAAATGAATTATTATATTGATCCTGTGTATACATCCAAAGAACGGCTTTCAATAAAGGGCCCAAAGAGAAACTCCTTTTATAAAAATTACTGGGTCAAGATTTTAAAAAAACCAACCCATTTTTGTTTGGACGCTGGCCTGCTGAAGTAAAATGCAAAGTTTCGTGGGCACAGAAAAAATGAATAAATGAGCAATTTTTTTTTTACGCGAACAGACGAAAGTGAACAAGCTATAGCAGGTCGGCTGCAAATAAAAGAGGCGTTGAAGGGGGTAAGAGTCAAATGCAGAACCGGTGTCTTTGGGGTCGCAGTTAGGTGTTCAGCTGTGACACGCAGGAGGCAAGAGTTCGATTTCTGAGTTGGGAGATTTTTCTATCGAGTATCTCGGTCTTTCTGCTGGGATGTCGTATCCCTCTCAGCCTTAGTTGGTCATGTCAGGCAGGGTTGGAAGTCCGCCTGTTAAATTATCTAAATTATGTCAAAAGGGGCATAAAAAGCCTACAAACGTATTTAATTTGTAGATGCAGAAATAAGGGGGGGGGGGTAGATATTGATAAAAGGGAGGAAGGAGGGCGAAGAAGGTAGCAGAAAGGATGCAGTCTGCTTGACCAGTTTTAATGTTTTATATCTTCCTATGTCGGTTTTCTAAATTTTGTTTTTTCTTTCTTTATATATTATTTACGTGTTCGAAACATAGTTTATGTTTTTCTCCACAGTGTCCAATAAATGGATTAGAGAATCTTGCCAGGTGTTCCGCTCTCCCTGTGTGAAGACAGCCTGGTGATTTTTAGTGGCAGTTAAACATACATGTAACTGTCTGTCTGTCTGTCTGTCTGTCTGTCTGTCTGTCTGTCTGTCTGTCTGTCTGTCTGTCTGTCTGTCTGTCTGTCTGTTACAATTTATCAGCTTAAGAAAGTTTGCTTTAATTTTGCTATCCTGTTAATTTCATAGCGCTGTGTCCTTAACTTTCCATGAGATGTAACGCTTTCTGGTGCAATTACTAACTACACAGCATGCTTCACTTTATGAACATGATACTGTAAGCTATCTATTCTTGCTCTTGTTCTTGTTCTTAGTCTCGTTCTTGTTCTTTGTCTTCTTCTTTTGTCTCCAAGGCTTCTTCTACTTTAATTTCTGCTTCTTATTTTTGTTTTTAAAATAATAATAATAATAATAATAA